CAGATTATCATCTCCTTCATCTATTTTCATTATTATGAAATGCTTTAAATATTATTTGCGACGATAAAGATAAAGTTTGTTACTTCAATTACGCAAAATACTATTTTAATTCATCTGCAGAGTGACGACTACTTGAAACAGTATTTGCAATATTTGGCCTTCAAGTTTCTCTCTACGTTATGATAAATTAATTAATAGATCTCGTCAATAATAGATTAATTTCTGTTACATACTCCGAGGAGCTCAATTTTAATACTTACAAAAAAATTATTACTGTTGTACTTTTAATTGCTATTTCGATGTATTAAAATATTTTCACTAATAATAACAAACATTACTTACAAACAGGGTTTGCAACTCTACAGAAACCGTTAACGATGAAATTCGTTCACCAACCAACAGCCGGAGTTGTGCTAATTCAATTACGTAACTCGAACCTTTCAGTCAATTCAATTACTAATTATTTTAATAACAAGTGTAATTGAAATACAATATATTTGAAATACCATATAAATGAAATACAGTTCTTCAAATTACAGTACAGAATTTTGAAACAGAGAGATACATTTTTATGTTTTCCTTCCTTCTGCTCACTTTCAGTCAATTCAATAACTAATTATTTTAATAACAAGTGTAATTGAAATACAATATATTTAAAATACCATATAAATGAAATACAGTTCTTCAAATTACAGTACAGAATTTTGAAACAGAGAGATACATTTTTATGTTTTCCTTTCTTCTGCTCACTTTTTGCCACATCTGCATATTTTCTGCTCACCGTTGTCATTCATAGTACGTGACGCTATCTTATGTTCGTGTATTTTGTCTATCCTTGTTTCGTGTTTACATATACTAGAACTTCTACTGTGTCAGGATAACCAGAGCTCGCGCATCATTTAAGTCATTATTTGAATACAAAATTATTGGGAGGTCTAAGTCAACACGATAAAAGTAATTACTTATTATTTATGTAGACCTCAATAAACTATTTAAGATAATAAAATTTAATTGTTATTTAGGAATACAATTTCAATTATTACATATTAATTATCATTTCATTGTATATTATTTATTATTCATTTGGCACAACTTGTCAAATAAATCAGAATAACATTGTGTTTATTAATAATAATTTAATTTATTTAACAATTACATTGTAATTCGTAATTAACGTGATTGAATTACATTGTAATTAGTAAATGATTTAATTGAATTACATCATAATTCGCTATTAA